TTTAAGAGTGGTTGTAGGTTTAGGTAAACGTGGGGAAAAACTCAAAACATATACAAAATACAAGAGGCAAATCAATAAAAAAAATAAAATAAAAAAATTTACAAAAACAAATTAAAATACAAGAGGCATACTTCAGGCAACTTCTCCCGTTCAGAAATTTAATATATTAAAAACATTGCAATTATACAATTATATTAAAAATAAAACAAGCACTTTAAACATTATTTGAAAAAACAAAACCAAATTGCCACAGTGATTAAACAATTATAGGAAAAACAATATTCATTCAAAATCTACAATCAGAACAATGCGTTTCATTTACATTTATGAGATTTCAGCAAATTCAATGGAGTGTCAGAGATGTGAGCAATTAATTGCAAGAAAGGGTTAAGGTAGCTGCCTGCAAATAAATTTAAATTAACAGAGTTAAAAGGAAACTGTGGCACCAAAATCACTTCATTTTAATAGTAAAAAAGTAATTTGGGGGCATGGATGCTGCTCTTGCAGCCTTGCAAATTAAAAAAAACTGAGCATTTTGCCTAATTCACACCAAATAGTGGCGGTCAGACAGCCAGTGTAAATTGAAGGCATAGTTTCAAAATTTAGGCAAAAAGTAATGATTTGGACAAGTTTACCAACACTACTAAAGTCACAGCACGGCTATTTTAGCCTAGATTTCACAATTTGGTTTTCTTTGCCGTACAAGTCTTTGTTTAGTGCATATACATAGTCATTCACCTAGTCAGAGTATGTGACCACCACATTGTACTAAGATGTGCAGAGCCAGACAGAGACACTGATTTGTTGCATACCCAAGAGAAAGCTGCCAGTCACAATGAACGTCTCTGATCTGATGAGCAGTACATGAAAAGTTCTATTCTGTAGTAGGTCATAAAAAGAAAAAAACAAAAATATTGAATCAAGTATCTTTGCCATCCCTCCTTAAATTCATTTATTGATTTTGTTTCTACAGGATATGTATGACCTGTACTACAGGTTATCTTGTAGAAGCACAGTACATGGAAATGCTAAACACTTAAAACTTAAAATCAGGTCTAATGGCATGTGTAGGTTTGGAGCTTCAGAAAGCCTTCATATCCATGTTCTGGGAAACCACGTCTTGCATAAACTATACTAAAATGTAATATGCCTGGGAAGTAAACAGGTAGCCCTTTACCCAGCCTCAACCACCTTCCACCCTACCAAATACTGTCTAAAAGTCATGATACATGTAACTCAACAACAGCAAGACAGAAAGCTGCTGATTGGTAATGGATGTTAAACATGTTACATATATGGTTTACTAAATTAATTCAGTGCAGAAATCAGGTAAAATTTTTTTTTTATTTTTTATTTCCTCATGTGTGGTGTACTGAAAGTGAATGAAAAAGATGGCTTCATCCAAAATGACAAACCGCCTGAATTAGTGTTTAAGGACAGTTTGACAACTTACCCGAGTACGCCGGTTACCTCCTCCTCCGCAGCCCACAAGCTCACTGACCTAGCTCGACAATGCAGTGGTTAGCTCATTGGCTGAGAGCCCTCAGCTGATGTTTTAAGCCTTTTAAAGGCATTAGCTTAATGTACATTTGACCCCCAAGGCGGCTGCGTCCGGTGACCCCAGGTAAATTGTCAAACTATTTAGCTTACACTGGGATGGAGCCAATGATTACGGTGCTTGGAGTGTACCTCTAAAGTGTTACTTCATTAAGTTTGTGTGCTTTAGTTATGGTTCTAAAATAAGACTCTGTCCCAACTGCAGTCACCCAAAAGTGGAAAAATTCTTCGAGTCCAGCTATTTAGAGAAGTTAATGTAAAAATAACTCTACTGTGTGGGTTCAAGATGCACAGTGACATCACATGCTGATCTAGGACGTATTACCCAGAGGTCCAATTAATTGGTAGCACCTGTTTAATGGGTATAAATAGGATTGACTTATTTGAAATTGAGATACCCTTGAGAAAGACATCAGGTCGAAACGTTGGGGCTGTGGTCTACACTCTCTGGTCAGTGTGCTTAAGGAAACATTTATGGTTTGTTTTGCTTTTATAGGTCTAGCTTTTGTCATCATATGTAGTGATATTCCTACATTCATACTACAAACTGTATTTGTGCTCCTTTCTGCTACATTGTGTATTAATAAAATACTTTTTTTGCATCATGATTATAGTGGTTTTTTTTTATATATATACTGAATATACATTACATGACAGGAATATCTAAATTCTTTTCCTATCCCACAATTTAAACCGTTCGCAATGACCACTGATCCTCAGATAACCTCCACTTGAACTCTAAAGCTACTTTACAAAACATCTTAACCATGAATGCTAGCTCAGCAGAAATCACAGAATATTGGAAGGGAGAGCAAGGAATTAATCAAGACTAGAATAACAATGGCACACTAAGCATTGGATATGCTCTCTCATGTGCTACAAAGATCTTACTTAAGGAACACTATAGTGTCAGGAATTCAAAATGTACATATTTATTTAGGTGACTGGCCCCTCTCCGATCGCATGGGAAAGATGAATTTACTTTTTTTTTTGCTCCACCAGTTTCGCAGCATTTGTCCCCCCATACCATGGCTGTCATCAAATCTATATGAAAGCATTGGGAGGCTATACCAAATGCTTGAATCAATGCATCTCTATGAGGAATGTTCAGCGCCTCCATGCGGAGTGTGGACACTCTGAATGCCAGTGCTGCACACTCGAGGTGTTCCTAGGCAGAAATGTAAACTCTGCTTTTTCTCAGAAAAATAGGGACAGGCTATAGATACCAGAACCACTACATTAAGCTGTAGTGATCCGGGTGACTATTGTCTTTTTAAGCTTCTCAGTTCCAAAAAAAAAAAAAAAGTTGCCTCGTAAACGTCACTAAAATGTTTTTAAAAAAAACTCACTCACACTCTCTCCCCATCTCCACAAAATACACCCAAGTCTTGACTTAATATTTCTGGATAAGCTTTTCAAATGATATCATTTTAAAAGCTTGTCCAAAAAACAATAGGAAATCGAAGCTTTAGAAAAAAAAAAAAAAACACAGTGTCGAGTAGTAAATATAGAGAAATCAGGGGAGACAAAAATCAGAAAGTCCATCTTTTAAAAGATTTATTAGTGGATGAAACGAAAGGTTTGGGACTCAGCTCCAATTGCCTAACAGCCGCTAGTGCTTGTATACAGGCATATTTTCACTTAATATTATTGTTTAAGGCTACATAAGGTTTTTTCAGGTTTTCTTTATGGACACAACACGAATGTAATCGAGAATGCAGAAAAAAAACCCTGCCCTATAGAATTCACTTACCACTAGGGGAATGAAATGCATACATATAAGTGCTTTCAACGGATCTGCCCTTTCTAATAGATTGATATAGTATCAAAGTATTTAAACAAGAAAGATACATTTAGATTTTCAGTAGTTTTCAAGTGCATCGCTTGATCTAGGTAACTGATTTTATTGATCTTGAAAGGATAAAAAGGCTGAATGAACCAAGTTGGAAATTGAACGTGGCAACCTGCGATACATTACCATTTTATAGTACAATATATTTAATAATATAACTCATACTATTAAATATACTGATACTGCAGAATACCAGAATGATCGTAATGAGGATTGCTGAAGTACACAATGAAGGCAAACTGAATAAAGGCATTATCAAACATCTGATTCATACCAGACCAGCAGCAATATGGGGCATAAAGGATATGCACAGAACTCTTTTACAGGACTGAAGTGAGTGAAGGCTGCATGAAATTATTTTGGATGCCAGTACTTTGAGACTCTTGTTCTACTGTGTATTGTAGAATAAAAACAAACATATCACAGGCTAAAGTGGTCCAAGCATAGATAGGCTGTGGCAGGATATCCCTACGGAACCTGAGAATGTTGTAACAATTCAGATATATGAAAGTACATTTAATGCTATGAGTTCACCTGTTTCAGGTTATTTTGTAGACCTTGACAGTGAGGCATTGAGAAGTTGATTAAAAAGTTCCAGAGAAGTTATTCCAGTTCAGATGCATAGAATAAAAAGTTTCAAACTTGGATGTGGTTACCGTTTTGTCATTCTGCTAAAGAAGTAATGTATGTATCCTTAGCACGAAGAGAAATGGATGCCAGGGAAACTGTGGCTGTTGGTTTTAATACTTGAGGTAGCCAAGTCAGTGGAACATAAATAAATAAAAAAACATTTACCCAAGAAGTCTTAAAATCAAAACACATGGCAAACACAGCTAAACAGGTTTTAAAGCAGATCTGTAGTGCGCAAAGGATCCCTCTGGATTGCACAATCCATAGCACCATAGTAAAAGAGGTAGAATAGATGAATTCCAAATGGAAATTCTGGATTAGAAAACCAGGGAGCCCTTTCTAGATCAGTGGTTGTCAAGTCGGTCTTGGAGACTAAGGGAGCTTAAAAGATTTTTGCTTTGCCCAACTGTAAACGTGAAACGTGTATAGAACCTGGAGTATGACTGAGCCTTGAGGGCTGCTTTGATAATTACTACTCTAGATGTAGCAGTGTGTCTTGCACAGTGATTCCCATTGAATTGCCTTTTAATGCAGAGCTTCTGGGCTGTAAAACTACACTTCCAGAAAAAAATAAAAAAATAAAATAAAAACGAAAAAACCCTCCACTAGTTTTAAAGTCTCAACATAAACGTTGTCCTTGTTTCAACAATCATAAAGTAACTATAATAATTGTGTTGATTGCTTTTTGTAAGTTTCTTTTAAATAATTGACCTTCTAGCTCTATTTTAGCAAATTGTTCTTCAAAATTAGAAATCACAAAATGGATTCTTCCTGCTAAAACAAATAACATTCCACAGAGAAGCAAACCTGTAGCTTTAAAAGCCATGCAACCTGTGCCTCATGCAGATTATTTTGATTCTGAGCATTAATATCCTTTCAGTACTATAGTATTGAGTGTGTAATAAATTAGCTTTGTACTATACAAATATGTATTAATGTAAACATAGAGTTCTGGGATAGACTTAAAGGAACACTATAGTCACCAAAACAAGTTTAGCTTAAAGGACCACTCTAGGCACCCAGAGTACTTCAGCTTAATGAAGTGGTCTGGGTGCCAGGTCCAGCTAGGGTTAACCCATTTTTTTTTTTATAAACAAAGCAGTTTCAGAGAAACTGCTATGTTTATAAATTGGTTAATCAAGCCTCTAAAGCCACTAGTGGCTGTCTCATTGACAGCCGCTAGAGGTGTTTGCGTGCTTCTCACTGTGAAAATCACAGTGAGAAGACGCAAGCGTCCATAGGAAAGCATTATGAATGCTTTCCTATGAGACTGGCTGAATGCGCGCGCAGCTCCTGCCGTGCATGCGCATTCAGCCGAAGAGGAGGAGAGGAGGCGGAGTGCTCCCCGCCCGGCGCTGGAGAAAGGTAAGATTTTAACCTGTTCCTCTCCCCAGAGCCCGGCAGGAGGGGGTCCCTGAGGGTGGGGGCACCCTCAGGGCACTATAGTGGTCCTTTAATGAAGCAGCTTTAGTGTACATATCATGGCTCTGATGTTTCACTGCTCAATTCTCTGCCATTAAGGAGTTAAATCACTTTTGTTTCTGCAGCCCTAGCCACACCTTCCATGACTGTGACTGACACAACCTGCATGAAAACAAAATGGTTTCCTTTTCAATCAGATGTAACTTACTTTGAAAGTTTTTATCTCCTGCTCTGTAAATTGAACTTTAATTCCATACAGGAGGCTCCTGCAGGGTCTAGCAAGTTATTAACAGAGCAGAAGATAAGACATTATAAATGAAACAGAATTTGCAAAAAAGGAAGTGAAAACATTAGATGACTCTTTACAGGAAGTGTCTAGGAAGGCTGTGTAAGTCACACATTGGGTGGTGTGACTAGGGCTGTAAAAACAAATTGATTTAACTCCTAAATGGCAGAGAATTGAGCAGTGAGACTGCAAGGGCATGATCTATACACCAAAATTGCTTCCTTAAACTAAAGTTGTTTTGGTGACTATAGTGTCCCTTTAAGTCATGCAGACCATTCATTTTGGAAAACTTACTTTCATCAAGGGCCACTGATCTGCCAAATGCAAATGAGAGGAAATCAATTAACCTTGCTTCATATAAAACTAAGGGAGTGTGCCTGTAATTTTGCACTTAACCAGTGAAGGACCAATTATATTATCACAATCCACTACTAAAGGCTCCATCTGGTAATGATCTGCCGCACAACCAATATACGTGTATATATATATTATTATAATTCAGGATTATTCAAAAATCACATTGTGAAAAGTGTTTACATTACAAATGAATAAAGTTGTATGTTAATATATACTCAAACAATGCACACAATAATAAATGGTCAAATATGGTTATACACCATACTACTGTGATGCCCTCGGGTTAAGGTTGTGCCAACAATGTCTGGGCTTACTTGATCTGAGGTTTTTCGCAGCACTGAGTTTTAGAGAGGTAAAACTCTTGTTTCGACCACAAATCGTGTGCATTGTTTAGGTGTTTTTAACTAGAATTTAGTTCTATGACTTTGTTCATTGTTTTAATATACCCATTTTTCACAACTGGTCTGTGAATTGTTGTTTGATAAAAATGTAGGAATTTGTAATAAAGCATTTCTAAAAATATTATAACACTATTTACACACAAGAGGTTCTGGGTATAATCACTGTATGCACGCCAAAAGGTTTATAGAGAACGTACAGCAATAGCTGTATCAAGCTGTAAAGAATTGATGCAAAAATATATACTAACCATAAGCAGGTCTTCTGATGAAAAATAGGACATTTCATATCAATGTAGGTATAGGATCTTAACGGGATAAATGCCCAAGAATGACTTAAAGATACTTCTTTGTATGGGGCTCTTTGGCTCTTCCTTCACAATTCCCAGCAGATAATGGCTGAACATGGTGGAAATCGTAATAGAATATCCAAAGGCACACCTAGTAACATTTAGCAACAATTTGTAGGTCTTACACTACTATTAAAGGATATGAACATAACTTGAGGAAAAAAAACAAAAAAAAAAACCTAATAAATCTGAGTTGGTGTTACCAACATGCTTTGGTAGCCACAAGTAATTTGTGCAGACCACCTGGACAACCTTTCGAGGAAAAAAGGGATTTGAATGAAAAAATTATTGATTACAGTTGCACCAGTCTCTTCTGAAGCATGTACAAGTAAGGGCCGTCAGGTAGCTTAAGTTGGTAATCATTTTTTAGAATATTAATTGTTTAAGATCCCAGAACACTGAATGTCAGAAGAAGCGGTTCTAGCCGACTGGGGACTCGGTTATTGATTTTTCAATAAATAAATGTGTTTAGATGCAATGAATATTAAAGGTTAAGTACTCCCATTAACTCTGGATAAATATTTTGGATGACAATTATAATAAAGAGTTAATGATGATGATCTATGAAGGCAAGGGTAGTCCAGTCCACATCAAACTGTCGTTTTCCTGGAAGTAGAGTCTCTTTTGCATTAAGGCTGCAACATTTGATCCGTGAATAATTCCAATTAATTAAAAAGATTGCTCTTCTCAAGTGCAGGTTGAGCAGCAGTGCAAATGAGTGAAATTATAATGTTACAATTACAAACTCTGATAAGGGAGTGCATCAAAATTCGGTCCTTCTGTTAGCATCCCAGGTAATTACAGCCAACAGGAGACCAGTGAACTTTCAAGATCGTTTGGCACAAAAGACTTCCCAAAGCCTTCTGTACAAAGTTCCTCTTGTTTTGTTGGTAGGGAGAAAGAGAGTGGATTCCTTTACTTGTCTTTCTCTTTTGGTGGATCTCGGGCAGACTTGAGGAAATCGCTACGCAAAAGGCGATAAAACAGCACAATATTCATTGCAGTCATGATTGCCATGCCAACACTTCCAATGGTATAAATAAGAAGAGGAATGTTGTCTCGGTTCAACACTAACCACCTGGTCATCCAGGCCAGTGTACTGATCCTGAAGATGACATAGGTACCAAGGTTTAGCAGGCTGTTTAGTCGGTACACCGTGGTTTTCAGTAGATTAGCCATAAGCAGAATCTGGCGCAGGTGCAGGAAGATTGAGTTTATTTCTACCAACAAGGCCACCACTGCAAATCCAACATAGCGGTGGAGGAGCATGGAAATCGAAAAGCATGTGATAACCTACAGAGAGAAAAGCAAACAAATTAAAATGCATGACAAAGGATTGCGGGTGTTCATAACATACAATGCACTATGAATACAGCTTTTTTTATTTTTTAAACATATGGTACAGGAAGTATCCAAAACATTAAAGAAACTTATAATACCTGACAACAAAATTATATAATGATTAAGAACAACTTTAATAAGGTTATTAACTAAAGCAGGGCCTGGCAAATTTGCTTGGAATCTAGGAGCCAGTTTATTTCCATTTTTTTTTTTTTTTTTTTTAAACTAATAAAGTTTAATTTTCATCTACAAAAATACAATTCTTAAAAAGGATACTGCAGTTACCAGAACCACCTCAGCCTAACGTAGTAGTTTTTAATGTAAACACTGCCTTTGCAGAGAAAAGGCAGAGTTTACATTGCTGCCTAGTAACACCTCTAGCGACAGTCACTCTGCATGGAGGCACTGAATGTTTATCAGAGATGCATTGATTCACTGCATCTCCATGATGAGATGACTGGGGCAGTGCAGCATTTTGCTGTGCACGCGCAATATGCTCCCAATGTTTTCCTATGGGAAAGCATTGGCCTAGCAGAGATAAAGATTGATGATCTCTGCCATGTTAGCAGGTTGTTGGAGAAAAGGGGAGTAAAAACACATATCCGTGTGATCGGAGGGGGACGGTAACCTAAACAGACACTTGCTGACAGGCACACACTGATACGGAAACCCCTCCTCTCCACAGACAGACAGACACTATTGTAACCGCGGCTGGTTCCCTTATTTACCACTATAATGTCTTAAAGCATTGAACTTAGTAGGGCTAACCATACAGATATCTTAGCCATAATTTTATATAGTTCGTGTAAGAGATCTTCTATTTAAAATATATAAATAATTGAGAATACAATATAAAATAAGGATTGTCTTGGAAGCAATAAAGTTTTGTCTTTTTAGATATTTATTATATAAAAATATAGACATAGAAACTCTGCTATAATGGATTTTATAAGATAAAACTAAATGCTTGGAAATATCATTAATAGGTTAACATACCCTTCTGAACATGTCATCATTAGTGATGTCCCGAACGGTTCGCCACGGACTCATCATTGAGTAAACTTTGACCCTGTACCACACAGTCAGCAGACACATTCCAGCCAATCAGCAGCAGACCCTCCCTCCCATACCCTCCCACCTCCTGGACAGCATCCATTGTGAAGCTGCATTCTTAGTGAGCTGTCCAGGAGGTGGGAGGGTCTGGGAGGGAGGGTCTGCTGCTGATTGGCTGGAATGTGTCTGCTGACTGTGAGGTACAGGGTCAAAGTTTACTCAATGATGAGTCCATGGCGAACCGTTCGGGACATCACTAGTCATCATGTCAGCCTCTCTGTCATTTTAAGATGGAGCAATGTCTGTCTCCAAGTCTCTCCTCTGTTACTTAACATTTAAAAGTACACCTATTTATACCTTAGGTGTATCCATTTTAGGGTTACCGTAGTTCATATATGAAAAAGTAACACTTTTTACTTTATTAATTTTAGGACCTCCCTTAATTTGGCAAACACACAAGGCCATAACTAAAGGGTGCATACGTCATGGAAATTTTCCTGACTTGGTTCAAGATGGCAACTTAAAGTCTGGACATCCTTATCTGCTTAGGGTTACCACAGTATATTACGTACTGAAAGAGTCGTAGCATAGCCTTGAACCTTCTTTATGCATTATTGTTATTGTAATTCATCTGGGACAAAATGGCGCAAACATATTATGCACTGAGGTTATTGCTTAAAGAAACAGTTATGAAAAACAATATGTTCCATTTCGAACACCTTGTTAGTTTGCAATATCTCTTAAAGACAAAGTACACAGTTTAAGAAATACAACATTTCATTCTAAAACTTGTAATATTTACATTTGCCCATTACGTTCGCGAGATTGGATACTTAACAATGTGAATCTTAATTGTTTAAGTATATTTTTCAGCGGCTGTTGGGTGTAGCTTAAGATGATTTGGAGGTTTTATTATTTCTAAAAGTGAGTTAAGAAAGCACTCAGATACACTATTGAAGGTATTTATTTTAACTCTACCTTTGTATAGGTGGTTTTATGTACCTTTAACCATCAAAAACCAAATAACATTTTCTTGGTATTTGAAAAACCGATAAAATATTTGATTACGTGTATTTTAATATATATACATAGAGTGGTATGGATGTTGAATTTATATCTTTGACATCTTTTTACCAGTTTGCAATAGGTGACCTAAATGATCAATTTCCAAAATCATCATCATGTATATCACCTGGACGGGTTAATCCACAATACTCGTTTACTTTCCATTGACTGGCCTTAGCTCTGGCAGACAATATTTTTATCATTATAAATAAACTTTATGTTAGTTGAAGTAAAGTTTCTGCCTGTCTTTAAGTTAAATTTTAACTGTTGAAGTACTTCACTTATATTAATTATACAACTCTGCAAACTTAAACAAATATCGAGTAGTTTCTGATTTAATAAAAACATTTCACATCTTCTTTTAAAGTTTAAACATTATTCATTATTGCAGTTATTGTAATCATATGATCTTTAACGATCATGATTCAATTATTTATCTGGGTAATCAGCCACTATGCTCTTATACATATGTTTAATATATTTGTTTGTAGGCCAGACCGCAGCTGCATATGGCATTTTAGCAATAATCCTCAATTACGTTTCAGATATTCACAAAGTCTATCCACCTTTGTAATTAACACATTATGTGTTTATTTTATACCATTAATTATAGTATCTGTATTATATTACACATTGTCACTGACACATTTCTGATACAGGGAAAAAAATAGCATGATTGCTTTAGTAATTATAATTTTCTGTCCATGCACCACATTCCTGGAAGTCCAGAATATAGCAAGAATCCTTTGTCGTTTGATTCTATGGAGCCATTTAACGTTTTGATTGGTATAGTTATACCAAAAGAGCAAGGAGTACATTGGTAGATCACATCTGCAACAGAACCATTACAGATTCCTTGTTGTATCAGTGTCTCTGTGTTTATGTTTACAGGAGTTCCTTGCTTTGCAGGTATGTACATAATATGTAGAGTTTAAGAAAAGCTGCAAATCGTGCTTTAGTACAAGTGTTCCACGATGTCAAGTTTCTGAAAGATTTTGCTGGCCTTTTATATTCCATTCTCTTGGCAGGGCATCTGCTCTTAGTAGGCCGGTCTGGTTATTATTTATTAATTGCATCAAGGTTTCTTTCGTTAACTGATTCGTTTCTTCCGAATTCAAATTCACATGCCACCAAATGTCATTGTAAAGTTAATTGTTGCAGAATATTGTTCCAGGATGGTTTTTCACTCCAGTAGGAAATCTATATTCCTCTTCTTCTGCTCCTTCCTATTAACCACTTTTTCTGAGTTGTAGGTAACAATCTGTGTCTTGTACTGCGAGGTGCTTTGATAGTCAATCAGGTTTTCTCAGTACCATGTTCCATCTTGAGAAACAGCTTGGTGTTGACAGTTATCAGCCTATATTTCTTTTTCCGGTCATCTTCTGTCTGGATAACAGCATTGTCCAGAATTAGCATAGCACTTCTTTTCAGCATAAGAAGGCTGTTTGCGGTAGTCATTCAATGATCAACGATCATTGAATAATAAAAAAAAATAATAAAAAATAAAAACCATTTAAATCTAGCCATCCTCCCTACCTTTGTAAAACAGTCTTCAAAATACTATGTTTTCAGCATGGCTATACACAAAATCACCCTATTTTAAATTTTTTTCAATAATTTATAAAGATAAAGCATTGAAAAAAGTGAACAGGGAAATCTGGCTACAGTTTATGCACTGCCGAGTTTACAGTTTTGCCCTATAAAGAACTATGGAGGAGCTAAATATATAATCCTTCTTGTAATAGTCATTTGCAGATCACGTGTATACGCGAGACGAAACTGACACTGCAAAGAAGAAAGTGAAACTCTTTGTATTAAGATCACTATAGCTACTAATTATGTATCTGCGATGTCACCAGCTTTTAAATCTTCAAAACGGATATTTGCTTATGGAATCTTTACAAGGGACATTTTATAAAGGGTGTATAGCAGCCAAGACCTATCATGAAATTAAACCTAGTAAGCCTGTATGAGCAGTCTTAGCAGACAACAGGGTCAGGTCTTGCTTATGCGAGGCTATAAAAGTTACAAAATATGAAAGATCACAACGTTCATAAACCATAACGCTGACTGTTTATTGTCGGAAGGTTAGATTACTGTATATGAAATATTCCTATGGCTTGCCTAAATTCTGCACCTGTAAACCTATACAAAATATGTAAACGTATTGTCTCCCACAAATTTGGAGAAATAAGTCTTTAATATCTGTTTTAGTACAGTAAAATTATATAAGAAACAGATTTAAAAAAACAAAACAAAAAAAAAAAAAAAACTTAAAGAAAATAACATTACAATTTAATTATTGATTCTGGCTGCCCCTATATTGGAAATATACCTAAAAAAACATTCATAAACTACCTCAAAAGAACACATTAAGCACCATAACCACTACAGCCCACTGTAGTGGTAATGGTGTCAGGAGTGCCTTGGCACTCTCTCAGGGTATGTACGCAAACGGTTTGCAGATTAATACGCCTGCTTCGTGGTTGTAGTAAGTATACCCACAGCTAGTAATCTGAAGTTTCTATGACAATAATATACAACTGCGAGCTTATAGTGCACAATAACACACACACACATACACGTACAGTGATACTGGGCTCACTGTATGCAGTCCATCAGGAGTGGGCAAACTCTAGGGCTTGACAAATTTGCTTTTAATCTAGGAGCCAGCTAAAGAAAAAAAAAAAAAAGAAAAAAAGTTAGGAGCCAGTTTTGTTTCCAACAACAAAAATACAATTCTTAAAATGACACTATAGGCGCCAGAACTACTACACCTTAATATTGTGGTCTGGGTGTCTATAGATTGTCCCTGCAGCCATTTCATAGTAAACTCTGCCTTTCCAGAGAAAAGGCAATGTTTACATTGCTGCCTAGTAACTCCTCTAGTGGCCGTCACGCAAACGGTCACTAAATGGTCTCCTATCTTAGCGCTGCACAATGTGCAGCACCTACATTCAGCGTCTCCATGCTCTGCATGTTCCCCATGCTGAAAGTTCCCCATAGAGATGCAGATTGGTAATTGATAATCTAAGCTATGGAGGCTGGGTAGCTGCAGCGAGACCAGCATGCGATCAGAGGGGGCTGGTGACCTAAACGCACAAACTCATAGGCAGACACACCCTGACAAACACACACAGTCACACTCTCTCACACAGTAACAAAGTATAATTTGATACACTAAAATGGACACAGACAGACAGACACAAAGACAAATACACATACAGACATACACACACACACACACACACACACACACACACACAGGCAAGCTGCCCTTCCAGCTTGCAATTCCCCTGCGGGAGGAGGCAGGGAATTAGCCCACCAAACCAAGGGCGACAGGGTAAAATTCTTAGTCGCCATGGCGCCTGGGATTTGTCGAACCCTTCCTAGGTCATGGCATGTAACCTTTCCAGGTGTTGTAGTCTACATTTTCCCACATGGTTTGTCAGCATTATGGCTGTGAGAGCATTATGGGAGATGTAGTCCACAACATCTGGCTTGCCGAAGGTTGACTATCACTGCCTAGGAGCTAAAGTTGAATAGATGGAGGAATTCTGCAGACCCCAATTACGATGCAGGGAGGGAAGATCCAAACCATTTCTGTCACAGATAGTTATGGCTGTTCCACAACTGCATCTTGTTTTGTTGGTTCATTTTTGTGACCTAAATAACCTCATTCCAGCCCACGTGTGTGCTCCTGTTGAAAAAGTACAGATTCATATACCTAAACACCTTTTGTTGCGTCCCCACCAGGATGAGAAAATCACCACCAGGGGGAGCAGGAGCAGAAAGTCACATGAAACAAGTGTTGAGCATCTAATTGAGAAATACACATTCCAGTACAGCAAGCATCGTGTTCATGGTCTGCTCTTTAAGGTTACAGACATTGCATAAAGAAGCGGTTGTGCAACTTCAGAGATAGAACGGAGGACACGTTCTTATAAGAATCAGAGTACCGACCCTTCCAGAGCCCAGAATGCATCAAGCCACCAAGCAGACATATCTCAGCTCTCTTGCCAAAAAGTTAGATTTATAAACAAAACAGAATGCAAGCTCTTTTGGACAGGAAACACAATCCTATGCTATAAATATACAGTATCAAAAGATAGAGGGAAATTTGTTTACATCACAAAGATGCAATAAAACAGTGTTACATGTGGGTGGGGGTGAGAAATAATATTAAAAAAAATAATAATAATTAAAAACAAAAATGTAATCATAGATCAACCTTAACTGGACAATCCACTGCCCATTTCCAACAAAAACAGATAACTGTTGATATACCCCCAACAAATAGATGCATAGATTTAATTATGATTTTTTTTTTTTTTTTAATTTGGGATATAAAAAAAAATATATATATATATATTAAAAAAATATAAAAAAAAAAAAAATCTAGCAGATATCTTGTCTCCAGCCTTTGCAAGCCCTCCCCTTCTAACCCTGTCCAGACTTTCTGTGGCTGTCCAATAACAGACTTCCCAATGCAGCTCAATGTGAAGTTTTTGTAAGGCAAATGCTCTGAGCAGCTGCTGCATCTTGACTTTAGCTCTATTGGGCTAAACAAACCAGGAAATAACAGGACCAGTTATCTTATTGACAGGCAGGGGGTTTGTAACAAGGTTAATTTATAAAATGGCAATTTCTATTGAAATCTAAACTTTTTGTAAAATGAAAACGGGAAAAGACAGAATTCCTTCAATGACACACCACTGGTCTAATTTTTAATCTCCACTAATGTTTTGGCGTGTGCCTCCAACATACAACTCTTAACCTGAAAGTGAACTTTATAACAAATGATTTATTACAAACATAGGCTCAGTCTATCTGAACATTGTAGCACAGCCCCACTAGTAAAATAATGTTTACAAAAGTTAACATTCCAGGTAAATTTAACAGTAAACATCAATGAACAATGCCTCTAGTCTAGTACAATACTTTTGTTGCTTAAACAGCCAGTATTAGCAATGGCTGTAAAACCGGTCTATAGTTTAAGGCTACGGAAGACATTTTACATAATACAATCACCTTCAAATGTTATTGTAAATGTAATTAATAGGAACTTGCTGAGAGAAGTAGTTTTACACACAGATGACTCCACCATTAAAGAAAATAGAATGTTAAAGGGACACTATAGTCACCTTAACAACTTTAGCTTAATGATGCAGTTTTGGTGTATAGATCATGCCTCTGCAGCCTCACTGCTCAATCCTCTGCCATTTAGGAGTTAAATCCCTTTGTTTATGAACCCTAGTCACACCACCCTGCATGTGACTTGCACAGCCTTCCATAAACACTTCCTGTAAAGAGAGCCCTATTTAGGCTTTCTTTATTGCAAGTTCTGATTTTCTTATCCCCTGCTATGTTAATAGCTTGCTAGACCCTGCAAGAGCCTCCTGTATGTGATTCAAGTTCAATTTAGAGATTGAGATACAATTATTTAAGGTAAATTACATCTGTGTGAAAGTGAAACCAGTTTTTTTTTTCATGCAGGCTCTGTCAATCATAGCCAGGGGAGGTGTGGCTAGGGCTGCATAAACTGAAACAAAGTGATTTAACTCCTAAATGACAGTGAATTGAGCAGTGAAATTGCAGGGGAATGATCTATACACTAAAACTGCTTTATTTAGCTAAAGTAATTTAGTTGATATAGTGTTCCTTTAACATTCAATATAATAAAAGGAATCCATGTTTAAAATGGAATGAGGCAAAAATGTGATTCCTTGTTAAACTAATTTGCATATGCCCACTCAGAATCCTTTGCGGTTGTAACATCACTGCAGATTTGGGATTTCTGTGGGAAAAGCAAGTCTTATGGCTTGACTGGTGTGCAGATTTTTGTTTAACATTGTATTAATTATACATACATACATACATACATACATACACACGTATAATTAATACGTTAAACAAAAACCTGCACAGATTTTATAATATATATATATATATATATATATATATATATATATATATATATATATATATATATACACACACACATACATACATACATATATACACACACACACACAGACACACACACACACACACAAATTAATAATATTTTTTTTCGTTACAAATAAAGAATACATTAATTTCCATAACACTAAATTGGATTCTGGTGGTTGTTTGTGTTTTGGAAGTGAAGGGAGCTATATCCTAAAACTAAAAGCACATTTACTTCTATCCCAGAATATCAGATGGCGTGCTGCACTTTTATACAGGTTATTTTTTATGTTTTGGTTCCCGAAAAACCTCACTAAACAAAAACCATGACTCAACATCAGAACAATAATTTTTAACATACATTTTAAATGACTGCCAATAATAATAATTATATATATAAAAAAAGCATCAGTTAAAAATGATCTGTAGCAAGGTGTTAATAGAACATGTTTAACATGCCTCTAATTATGTGTTTTCTGTTAAGGCATAAGATTAAGCTCCTTGCACAGCACCAGGTATGTCACAACGCCTTGCAACGAATAAACAGAGGTGTTGCAATCTGTCAGCCTTGCCAAGGTTGAAGCTATAGCCAAAGGCTACGTCAGTTACAATTGGCACAAAGTATCTGATGGATGGCAAATAGTAAGATACCCTCCGGCTGCTGGAGTCACGGTGACAAAAATGTAGCCACAAATACTCCATTCAAATCAGCATAGGAACAGTGCAGACGCTGACAATTCATACAAATTATATTAAAGTGGCACTGTCACGTCTCTTTCAGTATTCTTTTACAGATATCTTTTTTTTTTTCTCCTTCAGATTGACCATTTTTCTAATATCCCTTGTATCTTAATGATTATACTCCACCCATGGGGGGGGAGAGGGGAGTATACAGTGATAAATAGGAATGCACAATGTTAAAATAACCTGTTCTTGGGAGAACAGAACAGAGGAATGGAAGCTTAGGGAAAACACTCGTATTGGGGTTAACCCAAAAGACTAGAGAAAAAAGAAGAGTGCCCTAATCAGATTATAAATATAAATATAATAGTAATTGTAAAATCAAATATTAATACCCACAGCTCAAATAGTGATTGGCTAAACAAAAAATAACCGGTCATTGATAATTACTCACTATATTTATTACATTTTATTTTTTGACATGTATTAATATTTGATTTTACAATTACTATTAAAAGGTTATATTTTAACCTGTTCTTGGGTATTTGTAATGAACAGCCTGGCAAGGATAAGAAGGTGAGGATTTCTATATTTACATTTTATTTTTCACACCTTACAATAAATGAATGAAATATGGGTGAAAAACCAAAAAATACACATACTATTAAGGAAAGCTGGGAGTTCATCTAATATAAATGACACATACAGTAAATAAGGCAGCCTGGCATTGCCTGCCAATATGTGCCAAAAGTTGTCCATACTTGCCAACCAGCAATATATATCACAAATGCTCTGAAAGAATGACTGTTCATGCATGATATAATTGCTCTCCATACAGCAGAGAAGGGGAAAGGAGTTGAATTAAAGACAGCCATCATCCCAAACACGCCCTTGTTAAGTGCACTGAGTTCTGTCTGCTCTTGTATGTCAACACGTTAATTTGGGGAAAGATCATACTGATGTCAGTCGTCTTAACAAAGACCTATTTTCTATTGTATAAAGAATGCTATGGTAAAACGGCAAACAACGCAATTCCCGGCAAGCAAGGAAGATTTCCTAGCATTCACCAGTTACTTTGGGGGAAATCTAACACTAAATAAAATTCATTTTGCGAATAAAAAAAAATAAAAAAAATAAAAAAAATGGAGTTTTACAAAAACACACACACACACACACACACACACACACACATATATTATAAACTTCATCATTTTAAAACTCTGCAATCATGTATCTAATAAAAAAAAAAATCTCAATAGAAAACATTAAAGACAATAATAAAATTACATTTTGAACATTTCCCTGAAAACTAGAATGCCACATGTTCATAAAATAGCAACTTTGCTAACAATTGCTCACTCTCAGGAGATAACAGGAAAGGGTGGTGCATATCCCTGAAGGTTAGTACTCCAGGAATTCTGCACATGATAAGGGATACTTACACAACAGGGCTGGGCCTTTCATAAGTGATCAGAGAGTTAAAAGAATTAAACACACATCCTGAGAAGCTTTTCACAGCTCAATTCCTTACACACACACACACACACACACACACACACACTTCCCAAGGGATGCCTGGTTAAACAATGAAAAACCAACGCACTCCTCCTTAGCACCCCTTTTTAGATACACCCTCCTTCCAAAACAGATTCCTGCATTTCTGTGTAATGTAGGACAGTTGTTTAAGTTGAGGTATGCAGTGGGGCGTTGTTGATATACACAAGATGCCTTGGCTTTACAATATGCTGCACACCCATATAGCACGCAAATATTTCAATGTAAACCAGCACTAAAAATAGCTTGTGTTTATAGGTAACAGGAACTCCCCCTGACAGGCTCTGCAATAGACGTCATGCTTGCACAACTTGCTGACAATAATTTTACGTTACACAGTAAAACAATCTTCCTGCTTGAATGCGTCACCAAATGACAAATCAGTGGTGGAAGAGTTTCAGAACAGCTCTCCATAAGAAGTGTAGCTACAGTCTAATAAGTTGGTGACCAAAAAATGTTCTATTTTGTTTCCCCAAAGTTATTACATAGCCCTAGCCACGGTATTCAGGAGAACAAGAGAGAATTCAATTGTTGGGTAAAATGCTATCTGAGCAAAGACTAAAACAGGTTTTAGTGTCAAAGAAAATAAATAAATAAAATAAAATAAAAAGTACAGCAGGGGGCAATATGGAGACACATTGATTTGTTCATTTGAAGCGCAAATTTTTGTTTTGTTTTAAAGACACAGTCTTGACACTGGTAGAACGGCATAAATCAGAATACATCACCTATATTTCACCAGTGTAAATAGTACATATTGTATTTTAATCTTTTACTTTGATTTTGTTTTGAGAGATTTTTGTGCATGACAAAAGTATTTATAACCTGTATTTTTCAGTTTAGTAGCCCTGTAGTTTTGCATATCCAACTCCTCTCACTGCTCCCCTACTTCTTTGTACTGTGTCTTATATGTGTGCATTCGTGTAAAACTATTTCAGTATAAATCACTTGAAGATTGTGTAGGTGATCAAAAAAATAAAAATAAAAAAATTAATAGTGCTACCACAATATAATGAACAGCAAGCCAACAAGTAAAACGTTCACATAAAACCAGGCATGAAAACAGCAACTCGCAGTTCTGTAGGTTTCATATAGCGCAGCTAGGTGAAGCATTCTGCGTGTACAAGGGAGCAGATAACTGCCTATAAATTGTCTATGCCCGGCAACAAGGTTGCCCAAAGTCGGGCCATCCAGACGTTGCTGAACTACAACTCCCATGATGCTCTGGATATCTATTTAATTCAAAGTATATAGGAGTTGTATTTAAGCACATCTGAGAACAACGGGGATTGAAAACAATTGGAAAAAACAAACAAACAAACAAACAAAAAAAACAACCTCTAGCAGCCACTCCCAGAGGAGTTTTCCTTGGTGTGTTAAACCGAGATAAACCACAACTGATCTTCAAAGCTGGTGTTGGAAAGAGAACAATGTTTTCATTTTATTTGGTTTGGAATTAAATATATATGTCGATTGGATTAGCTGTATTAGTCCAGTAGTCAAGATGCCAAAATACCAGAGTATTGCAGTATGCAATGATACATTTTTTTTTTTAGCACTAACAGTATTGCTTCAGACCTGAGGGAGAGGGGAAAACTCTTTAAAGTATTTTGTTAGTCCAATAAACGGTCACTGCATTCTGCAATACTCTGGTATTTTGGCATCTTGTCTACTGGACTAATACGGCTAATTTTATATATCTATCTAAACTTGTGATGACACCAACAATGCATTATGTATGTCCACTGTACTATATGAAAGCACTAAGATGTGATATAATACTAATATCTGGGTGATAGTGAAAATCCCTAAAGCCTATCATTGAGCACTGCTGAAAATCAAGAATGTAACCTGGTTACACAAGCAATCACGCCTCCAGCAATAAACTTAGAGGTTTGTTATACAAGAGATCAGTGACCTTCTCATCTGGAGCTGGAGGTAAACACAAATAGGTGCAAACTCAGCAAGTGTGATCCTCTTGTGGCCTGATTTGAGCAATTAGCATTTGTCAGTATGTGTGCACACTTGTTCATATATGCCCAGGTTGCAAATTAAAGAGTGTGTGTAGATTTATAGTTACCACGAGTGTGCAATATCCCAAACCTGCTTCTACAGGTTAAAAAGGTAGCATGCCCTTAACTCAAGGTTCCATTAGAAGTCATACTGGACCGTACAGAGAACGAGTGTCACAAATCACCAATCACTATTCATATCCCTGCGTATAATTGTGCCTAAGGTATAATCCTGTAGTAAAGGAACGCAGATCATGGAAAGGCCAAAGGTAAGTACATTTTAACTTCTCTGCTCTAGTCTTCACCCCAGTAAAAACAACAACAATAGTGTTACTAACTTGCGAGTACCAGAACTGGAACAAATACTAAGGTATTCACACAGGCAGTACACCCTGGAAGAGTCACGATTTAAAGAAAAGCACATATGCGTACACAAGCCAAGCACAATACATTCCAACGCAGTCCAGTACATCTCCCATTTATTAGATCTGGAATGCTCAGCTTGTTTGCGCCATATCAATCACTACTGCTCTCCAATGGAGGCATTCCATTTAACTGGCATCCCGGGGACATTCAGAGAATATTACTTTTAATAATAAATCACAGCTTGAAATTAACCATTGAAAACCTTACAGGGTGGGGGTGGGGTCAAAATTTTGCCAATAGCAAAGAGGGGCAAAGTGTTAAAACTACAACGTAAAATTGTAAATATTATAGTGTTCACTTTTATTCAGGGCATTAGGGCAGATCTATCACTTTCAGGAGTGTTTGCATATTTTACATAAACCGCCAAATATTATATCTTCACCCAGAGTGCAACGGTAAATATTTAAACTCATATTAAGTTGTCCCTCACAGCAAAAAGTCCAGATTACATCACATGTGAATTCCCTTCTTTTCACTTGACTTAAGTTTACAGGCATGTTTAGAAACCATAAAAAAAAAAATAAAAGGAAGAAAAATATCCCTGTACATATTGTGCGTTTTAATATTGCATGAATGGACTAATTGCTACTCTGCATTTCGTGGAGCAGTCAGATCCTACTCTAGGGAGCACCTTAACCGTAAACGGAAAAAAGATCATATTCTTCTGCATTTTAACAGAAGGTCACATGGTAAAATAATGGAGGAGTCCATACCACAGTGTGATGGAAAAGCAGCTCCCAGGACTGATGAAGCTTCTGATTTTGCAGCATGTCCACAAAATCATGGATAAAATATCCTAGAAAAAGTGAGTGAAAAATAGGTATTCAACAAAATGTAAACATTAAATATACAACAGGAATACTGGGAGTAGATAGAACATTGAACAGCATATATTACCAATGATCACAGTTCCACAGCAAATTAGCATATTTCAGTGGGTCCGGACTTTAAAAAAAAAAAAAATATTTTTTTTTTTTAATAGACCAAGGCAGACTGAAAAAAATAAAAATAAACATTCCCAAGGCCCACTTAAATTTTAACTTCATCAGCAGCTTCTAAAATGACACAATTACTCAAACCTCATTAGAGATAAATATACACTTCAAAAAAAATAAAAAATGAATAGTATAAGTAATAGTGTAAAGATTGGGATTCCCATCTGGTGGACACATTTTAAAGGATTAAATCAAAAAGAAAAGGATGAGAACTCTGAGAACGGACAAAAGCTTAGAGAGACTCGATAACCTGCTCTTCGGTAAATCTCCGCTCAGATCTCAAAATAATTTTTGATCACTTGTGTCATTACAGAGAGAACCTATCAGACTGGTCCTACCCATACGGGCAGTCAGGATCGGGCAGACTGGTCCTACCCATACGGCAGTCAGGATCCGAAATCCCAGCAAGTTCCCTCTGCACGAGAGATACAGCAACCCCAAACGATCGTTTCGGCCTTCTTTAGGGGCTCGTCAGTGAGGTATAACCGATACCCCTCTAGGCACAGTGCCTAGAGGGATATCAGCTTCACCTCACTGACGAGGCCAAAAAGATTGTCTGTGGTTACTGTATATCTCATGCAGAGGGAACTTGCTGGCATTTCTGATCTGGACTGCCTGTATGGGTGGGACCAGTCTGATATGTTTCAGATATCTTCTCTTTAAATCGTCACAAGTGAGCAAAAATTATTTTGAGACCTGAGCGGGGATGTACAGAAGGGCAGGCTATCGAGCCTCTCTAGGCTTTTGTCTGTTCTCAGAGTTCTCATCCTTTCTTTTTTAAATTTTAAAGGAACACTCCAACCCACATCAGCTTGCTTAAAGAAACATTCAGGGGTGACAACAACCACCATAACTAGTTCATTACAACAAAGTTGTTATAGGCTATCACCCGCTCTCACAGTGAATTCTTACTAATCACTGCAGCGGCTGGAGAACTAAGGCATCGCTGATGCGTGCCTGATGTGAAACGTTCGTGTTAAACTACTATAAAACGGTAAAGTAAGAGAGCCCCCAGACGCTACTGTTCCTGTAGCATTACAGGAGGCTGTAGTTGTTATGGTGCTTGTAGTGTTCCTTTAACCCCTTAAGGACACATGACGTGTGACAGGTCATGATTCCCTTTTATTCCAAAAGTTTGGTCCTTAAGGGGTTAAATGACTAGATTCAATATATTACAGCCATGGAATTAACGTGTTCATGGCATATTGAAGAGGCTCCAGGTACGCTGGTTGAAAAAAAAAAAAAAATGTTGTTAACAAAAGCAACCATGTGTCACTCAAATCCTTAGAAATATCTGGTTTCAAAAAGGGGAGGAAGAATAAGGGGCACTGTCTGTAAACTCCTAAGACCCCCTGCCACTGTACTGAGGTTTATCTTTAACACAGTGATGGGTATATCAATCCTGTAACGTGAAAGGCAGAGGCAGGCACCAAGTGATCTTTTATAATAGCACTTTTACCCCAAGTACAGATCTAAATCAAATACTTTGTCTTTGTATACAAGAAAACTAGATTTCTCCCCCCACACCTGCACTCATACTTGGGAGTTTATAACATTCCATGTAACTCGGCAAAAAAAATAAAAGAAAAGAAATACTGAATTAAGTACATGTTGAACAGAACGGTTATTAGATGCAGACATTATATTATAGAAGAAGGTCAGAGCAGCTGGTTTTCCAAACAGAAGTCCTGTGATACAGTGTGGAGCTGGGGTGGGAAGGGGGGATGTCACGAGGCTGCCTAACAGGCGGAGTATTGTGGGATACAATAAAGCAAGGAGGTGAATGAAGAAGAAAGAGGGGGAGAGGAAGAAGTTTTTTTTTTTTAAAAAGGCGTAAAAAAGAAAGTCCAATGGAAAATATTATTATTGCAGGTGCAAATACTAGGACAACATAAAAGCATCTGCTCCTACAGACAAAGATCATAATTCACTAAACAGTGAATCAAAAAACTAAATTTTAAAATACAGGTAACAAATACCACAATCACTGACATAAAAAGCGGTGATTATTTTTTTTCCAAATAAGTTATTTTAACCAACATTTTGCAATCTGGTTTTCACATTGTTTAGTGAATGAACTTCAGAATTTAATAGCGGAGAGTATTTAATAAGAAAATCTATAGTTTTTAATAGCTTAAAGGACCACTATAGTGCCAGGAAAACATACTCGTTTTCCTGGCACTATAGTGCCCTGAGGGTGCCCCCACCCTCAGGGTCCCCCTCCCGCCCGGCTCTGGAAGGGGGAAAGGGGTAAAAACTTACCTTTTTCCAGCGCTGGGCGGAGAGCTCTCCTCCTTCTCTCCTCCTCCGATCCTCCTCCTGGGCTGAATGCGCACGCGCGGCAAGAGCTGCGCGCGCATTCAGCCCGTCGCATAGGAAAGCATTTACAATGCTTTCCTATGGACGCTTGCGTGCTCTCACTGTGAAAATCACAGTGAGAAGCACGCAAGCGCCTCTAGTGGCTGTCAATGAGACAGCCACTAGAGGATTAGGGGAAGGCTTAACCCATTCATAAACATAGCAGTTTCTCTGAAACTGCTATGTTTATGAAAAAATGGGTTAACCCTAGCTGGACCAGGCACCCAGACCACTTCATTAAGCTGAAGTGGTCTGGGTGCCTAGAGTGGTCCTTTAATAATGCAATCTGAAAAACAACATTTACATTGCACAGCACTGTGGAACCTGGAGTTTTATTCAGTCATAATGTCCACAGCCAGCTTACATTACTGTAATGGTGTGTTATTTGAAGGTGAGATGTACATCAAAGCATGGCAATGTAATTTCTTATGGACCCTGGTATCCAAATTACAGTTTTAATTCAGTAAGTTTTGCAGTCCTGTCTCAGAGGGATAAATAATGTTATTTAAGGTTATACAGTCCCTGGATGCTTCCCTGGCACAAACTCACCTATAGAGACAGCGATGAGACAATGTGAAAACGGTGAGTGAGTGGAAATCAGGTCCTCAGCCATCTCTGGGTGCAGGTAAAATCTAAATGAAAATGGAAGGATGACATTTAAAAAAAGTATGACAAGTATACAGCTCAATGTGACAGGAACACGCAGGGCGAGGATGGGGAGTATAGTATACACCACGTCAGTGTGGATTCTAGGCAACAAGCAGTCTCTACGAATAAACACACAATGGTCCTTTACCAGGCAATCTACATTGTGTATATATATATATATATATATATATATATATATATATATTATATATTATATACACACACACACACACACACACACCCCAACCATTACCATAAAATACCCCTTCCCTGAACCACTCCCCATTTCAATGACAGGCATGTCTAATACAAAAATATAAAGAACCCTAACCCAATCCACTAAAAGCCTAACATATAAAGCAATCCTGAGCTACTCCTATCCCCAGCATCCCACCAGGCAGCTCAGTACAGCGCCGGCCGGTGTTCCATCAAAAAGGGACATTTCACGGGGTAGGGAGATTTGATAGAACACCGGCAATCCGGTGCCCATTCTCTACCCTCCATAAAGCAGCAGCTCAGCCCATACTCCCCATCAGCCAGCTGAACACCCCATAATAAACCAATAAATAATCACCCGAGCAGTGCCCAGCTCCCTGTCAGCAAGCTGTGCACGAACGATGTCCAGATGTTTCTCCATTTCCAGGGGTTCCGGAGCGCGGAGCTCGGGGCGGGGATGAGTCGTGGGAGCTCCCGGTTTAAAAGCCGAAAACAAGTGAAAGAAAGTCCTGTTAGCAGCAGCCCGGGGTCCAGGAGCTCCATGGGATCCTGCGGTGACAGTCCGACCCAGACAGGATGCGATCACTGAATAGAGGATAATTAGATATTATCCAAATCACGAGAAACTGCCAGGGGATCGGGTCTATCCGGGGAGAGCGGTGTATGCGGGGCTGGGGGGTGCGGAGCGCGGTTTATGCGGGGCTGGATAAAACACCGGTGGCAGCCTCCTCTCCCCACGTTCTCTATTTCGAACCTTGTGTAACTTTCTTGATGGAACCTCCAACAAACAACCCGGTCCGCGCGCTCTGATTGGCCAGCACGAAGGGTCTCTCCTCCTGCATACCGCCCCGCCCCATCCCATCTCCATGGCAACCCCCCTCGCCCTAATAGTAGATCCATGGGAGTGATGGGAGTGGTGTCTGAAAACTGGACAAAACAGCCAGCCTGCTTCCCCATCCAACTATATCTCTCCCTAACAGCATAAAGCTGGGATATTACCCCAAAAATCGTGTATTTTACACTATCCGTCATCGTTATACAATTAGATCACATGCTCTGCACAAACCAATCACAATCTGCTGTTGCATAACGCCAGGCTCAGTAAATTGGAGGTGCTGTGCGATCTTTTAAGTGTCAGGGCTTTATTCACTAAACTCCGAAATGTAGGAATCTCAGAATGGCAAAATGTGGCCTAACATGGCTGAACTTGGGGGGAAATGTCGTCTACTTAGCTTGGCTGTTTTAGCATAAAAATGAAGGATTTACATGTGAATTATATCAAGATTTTTAGATCCCAGAACCTTCAGATTGTCCAAGATTATTTCTATCATTTAGATTAAGGAAACAACGAACAGAGAAATACACTTACATTTTACAAGGCTATGTACAATCACACTGACAGGTTGAGTTTCAAATTTAGGGTCATAGTAGCTGAACTGAGAGCATAGCTTACTTAGAATTTCTTTTCCAGTTTGTGTATATTGAACTTAAAGGGATTCGATAGGGTAAGAAATACGACGTATTCCTTACTACTTACACTATAGTTCCCAAGGACCCCTCCTCCCTTGCACATCCACTGGAAGTGTTAAAAAAAATCTGAATTCAGGAGGCACTGGGTTGGCGCTTCGCATCCTTCTACATCATGCGTGGCTGGCGCTGCAAGCACATTAGGCGCTGCCCATGGGAAAGCATTGCTTCAGTGCTCTCCTATGGGATTTTAACTGATGCTGGATGTCCAACGTCAGTTTGGTGACCAAAAGTTCTTAGCCACCTGGAAGCAGGGGCGTACTTGGAGCATTTCGCACCCTGGGCGGATCTCCTATATACTATCCCCCCACCCCCCAACTTTAAAATGTAATTAAAAAAACCCTCTAATTTTTTTAAATGTATTTAGCACTGATCAGTGTTTGTATGTCTGAATGCAATCATGTTTTTTTTGTATGGAGTATGTGTGAGTGAATGTACGGGTGTGTTTGCGTGTATTGTTGGCATTTGAATGCATGAATGCATTTTTCTGTGGTGGTGTTTTTTTATGTAGTGTTGACATTTGGATGCAGGGTTGTATTTGTGTGTAGTGTAGGCGAAATGCTGAGATGTATGCATATATACACATATACTCACATACACACACATGCAGATACATAGACACACAGATACACAGACACATAGGTGCACACATGCAGATACATAGAGACGCAGTCATACACAGATACAGACAAACACTGACACACATACAGATAGACACGCAGATACAAACACACACCTACAGACACACAGGCACAGTCAGACCAATACAAACACATACAGACTGATACAAACACAGATACACAGAAACACATTGACACATACAGATAAACATATACAAAAACACAGTGTCTCTGTGTGTGTATAGTGGATGCAGTGTGTGTTTGTATATTGTGTGTAGGTGTGTGTTTGCATATTGGATGCGGTGTTTGTATAGTGGATGCAGTGTGTGTGTGTGTATGTGTATAGTGGATGCAGTGTGTGTGTGTATAGTGGATGCAGTGTGTGTGTGCTGTGTGGGATAAGTGCTGGGTAGGTGAGCAGTGTGTATTGTTGAAGTCCCCCAGACAGAGACACACACACACCATGACACAGACACACACACACACACATACACTCACACTGACACACATAATTGCTACCTGTGTGCTGGCGGCCGCATGGGGAGCTCTGATGGCGGCCGCATGAGGGGAGCTGGCTCTTCTGGCGGCCGCAGGGGGAGCTGGCTGTTCTGTCTCTGCTCCCCCGCCCCAGTGCGCCGCTTAATAAGACTGGGGCCGGAATATGATGTCATATTCTGGCCACGGTCTCTTTGTAGCGCGCTGGGACGGGGGAACAGAGACAGAACAGCCAGCTCCCCCTGCGGCCGCCAAAAGAGCTCCCTCTGCGGCCACCAGAAGAGCCAGCTGCCTGCCCGGCCCCAGGTGCCGACGGCCCACCGGGAAATTTCCCGGTATCCCTGTGGGCCAGTCCGGCCCTGCCTGGAAGTGTCTCTAGTGGCTGTCTGATGGGGACTACTCTGTCTCCGTATATTTCCTCTGCCTTATACTTTTAGACACTAGACGCACCTACGCCTTCTATAAGTGTCAATCCCCCAGTTTGGCTCTTTTCACCTTAAATTCACTTTAAATTCTCACTTTAGTGAATAACCTTGTAATTTCAACAAGGAGGATAAACGTGCTGACTGCAACACTTAACACATGGCCATAACGTGTTTCACACCCCAGAGTACTGTGTCAAAGTACCCCAAAATCGGTGGACACTAATCTTAACAAGGAAGATAAAACAAGCTAACTGTAGTTCTTTCTGTTTAAAGGAACACTCCAAAAACCACAAGCACTCTCTGCCGACTCCAAACACCACACGCACTCTCTGCCGACTCCAAACACCACAAGCACTCACTGCCGACTCCAAACACCACAAGCACTCCCTGCCGATTCCAAACACCACAAGCACTCTCTGCCGACTCCAAACACCACAAGCACTCCCTGCCGATTCCAAACACCACAAGCACTCTCTGCCGACTCCAAACACCACAAGCACTCCCTGTCCTCCAAACACCACAAGCACTCTCTGCCGACTCCAAACACCACAAGCACTGCCTGCCGACTCCAAACACCACAAGCACTCCCTGCCAACTCCAAACACCACAAGCACTCACTGCCGACTCCAAACACCACAAGCACTCCCTGCTGACTCCGAACACCACAAGCACTCCCTGCTGACTCCAAACACCACAAGCACTCCCTGCTGACTCCAAACACCACAAGCACTCTCTGCCGACTCCAAACACCACAAGCACTCCCTGCTGACTCCAAACACCACAAGCACTCCCTGCTGACTCCAAACACCACAAGCACCCCCTGCCGACTCCAAACACCACAAGCACTCCCTGCTGACTCCAAACACCACAAGCACTCCCTGTCGACTCCAAGCACCCCCTGCTGACTCCAAACACCACAAGCACTCCCTGCTGACGAGTTTGAGATACATGTATTAGAGACCAATGGTTTTATTCACAAAACCTGGAATTGTAGCAAATGGCAAACTTTAGTCTAAAATAGGTGAGTTGGAAAAACAGCTGAGTTAGACAGTGTGTGGAGTTCATCTTTTTGGGACTGGAATTCGGAGTCCTCTTGCCAAATTATAGTTACTTAAAAAATCTAATTGACTGAAGGTAGTTTGTCTTAGAGACCCCAATATCTCAGACAAGCCGAGGTTCACCACTTCCTGTTTGTTGCACAAAATGGAGATAAATGCCTCAGTCAGCCCAAAAATGCAACATTCAGTCTTTTTTTCTGCTTGAAATTACTACTGAAAGGAAGACGTCACTCAACATATTTCTAACAAGAGAAAACAATACTAATGATTTTACCAGAATGTGGTATGGCAACTTTCTAAGCTGTGGTTGCCCAGAACAGTATTCTCTTTTTTTTCGTGCCCCAGACTTCATCTAAATTAAGTTTTTATGGTGCTAGGAGGCCCATGGAGGCACTGTTACCTCAAGGGGTTAAACTGTTCTCAAACAGTTTAACCCCAAAGTTGCCTCCAGCGGCGATTTCTACTCTTCCCTAATCACTAAAGTGACTTGGAAAGAAATGTACCTTTTCTAAACCAGTTTAGTGCATGGGGAGTCACTGATTGGCTGAAAGTATCAGCTGACAGCTCTCAGCCAAACAGCGGCGTCCCTGCTTGATGGTACTCCGCGCTTCTTGAATCTGAAAATTCTGAAAAACAGATGCTGCCTGGGGAAAAGTGGACATCGCCGCTGGTAGCAACTGTTCTAGAATCCGTTTAACCCATTGGGGCCTCCTGGCACCAAAACAACTTAATTTAGATGAAAAAAGGATTCAGATGACAGGTAAGGGCAGTTGGTATTCAGACAAAACTTATTGATACACATTAAAGACTCACCTTTCCTCGATGTAAACATCTTTCTGTCCGTTCGCACCTCCCATGCCTCACTCTTCTCTCAGTCCCTAAATTGACTTACCCTAAGAAACAGGACTCAGTTTAAGATTCTGGTACTTGCTTAAAAGGCTCTATATAATGCAGCTCTACCCTACCTATCCTCCCTAATATACAAGAATGTCTCGTCTAGACCCCTATGTTCAGGGCCGGTGCAAGGATTTTTGCCGCCCTAGGCAAAAGTAAAGTTTGCCGCCCCCCCCCTCCCCATTTGACATCACAATGCCCCAGCCATATGATCTGCCATGTTAACTAACCCCAGTGCTGCAGTGCCGCCGTGTTTACATTAAAAGGCCTGCAGGGACAGGCTATAGACACCAGAACCACTACATTAAGCTGAAGTGGTTCTGGGGACTAGAGATTAGTGCTACGAATAATATACTAGATTGCCTACTTACAACCAGATGAGGATGATGATGGTCTCTAGCTGCAGTCTGGCTCCACTGGTCTGGTGTAGAACAGGCTCCCTGGAGGTTGTTTGTAACTGTGGGCACAAAAATCAATGTTCTGGGAGAATGGGAAGCAGCTCCATTTTTTTTAAGGCCCTTTATTTTATTTTTTTTAATCTGTGTTTGTATGTGTAAGGGCTGCAAGGTGTGTTTCTGTGTATGTACGGGATGCATTGAGTGTGTGCATCTGTAAGGGGTGCATTGAGTGTGTGTAAGGAATGCATTGTGTGTTTCTGTGTGTGTAAGGGATGCATTGTGTGTAAGGGTTGCATTGCTTGTGTGTGTGTGTCTGTGTGTGTAATGCATTGTGTGTTTTTCTGTGTGCAAGGGGTGCATTGTCTTTG